TCAAATAATATTTTCCATCACATCAATAATTTTTTCTTCTTTTTCAACCACATATTTTTCAATAAAATAATATTTTCCATCACATCAATAATTTTTTCTTCTTTTTTAACCACACATTTCCTATCATATCACTATTCAAAATCAATTATTCCCTTAAAAATCTCTACCGAACAAGCACTAAAATTTAAAATACAGAGGGAATAAAAAGATATTTCACGTGAGCCGATCACGAAGTACACTGGCAGACTGCTTTAGTGCATAGAATCAGATGATATGAAAAGGTCAGTCAAGTCGATTGTCCTGCACGTGAATTATGAATACACTAGATAACCCGCATACGTGCGATCCTTACGTGTGGATCAGATCAATCACTGACCGTCAATTTCTCTCTTCTTTTGACCAAACATTCGTGGAATCCAATTCTTCGGAACCTTCTCTTTTTGCCCTCCATAATAATCCAATCAGATTCCACTAATTAACCCCACAAATGCATCAAAATTTTGGTCTCTCTCTCTGATTTCTCTCTAAAATTGTTTGTACGCCATGAGCTCTACCTCTGCTGCTTCACGCAAGGTACCCTTTTTTTATTCCAATTCATCAGTTTATGGTTGTATGTATACATTGTATGTATAGGTGAATTAGTGGATGTATATGTTGTATATCCCTAGGAATAATAATTAATATCATTATTATTATTTTTTGTGAAAATTGATCGAGTGATTCATTAGGCTTTGAGTAAGATTGCATGCAATCGGCTACAGAAAGAGCTTACGGAATGGCAGGTGAATCCGCCGTTGGGTTTCAAGCACAAAGTAACGGATAATCTGCAGAGGTTTTGTTCTTTTCTTTTCTTTGCTGAGGGTTTTGTTCTTTTCTTTTTAATTTTCTTTGATTTGGTGTTCAATTTTATTTGATTGATTGAAAAATCGGAAAATTGGTGTAATAATGGATTTAATTTTGGTGGTATTAGATGGGTAATCGAAGTCAACGGTGCACCGGGGACTCTGTACGCAGGTGAAACGTATCAACTACAGGTGGATTTTCCGGAGCATTACCCAATGGAAGCGCCTCAGGTGAATATTCAAATGATTTGATTTCTTTATTTTTCTATATTTAGTTTTGTTGAATCAATCCACAAAGGAAAGTTTCTTTGACCTAGTTTTTTAGGGTTTGAGGTCTTTAATTTTCTTGAATGGCGATTGAGATTGGGTTCATTTAATTAGATTGAATTTTTGTATTTCCTTGGGCAGGTTATATTTATACCTCCAGCCCCACTTCACCCTCACATTTATAGCAATGGGCATATATGTCTGGGTATGTTTCTCTATGCCCTTTGAATTTTATTAACCATTTTGCAGGTTTGGATTTTTATAATATATGGTTGTTTTAATTTATTCCTTTCCCTTTTGATTTATAATTGGTATTGCGTACTTGCTGCCAACTTGGTTAAAGGGAATGAACATATTAAATTAGTTGTTGAGTTACTAACTATAAAATTAATATCATGTCCTCGTATGAAATATAAAATAAAATGTTTTGATCGGAGTCTTCATTTCATGGAAGTGTTCAAGTGGTTTAAGGCTGAAAGAGCAGTTCAAATTTGAAAATAGAGCAGGGTTGGTACCTAAAATGGCTTTGTCTATGTCCAGTGTAGGTAGAAAGAGGGGGCGAATGTGTTTCATAGGATGCCTCCATTTTATTGAGGCTCTAGATACTTCATTCCATTGTTAGAGCTAGCTAAGAATCAACTCACTGAAAGGAGAAGCATCTTTACTACTGCTTCCATAGCACTGATATTTGACTACAATTTTGTGTATCCATGTTAGTCTTCATAATTTTTATGCCCTGATGAGGGCGGTCTTTCATCACTAGGTCAAAGGATAGGATGGGGATGGTTTCTTCAGTTTGAGATATGTCTAAATGATGCTCATGATTTTTGAAATCCCTATTTCAACTTTATCTCTGTATAAGTCATTCTTAGAGGTGTAACGTAAGTCGTGTCGGGCCTGCCTTTTTTAACTTTGTCTTCATAAGGATGTGAAATAGAATGACAGACAAGATGTAAAAAATAAATTAGAACCTTTTTTTAATTCATTTTTGAAATTTCTGCATGTGCAAAGTACTATTTTATTCCAATCTACACTCCACAACAAGAGGTATCATGTATTGCTATGATATACTAGGTTGTCACCAACTTTACAATCAATCATAGCATCAATTGTAGGAATTTTAAATTGTGCAGATTGCACGATTTTATTAATCATTCACTGTCTTGTACTTAGGAATTGTTGAAGTTGTTTGTTTTGGCTTCCACTGTTCAACACTCTAAACTTATATTCTTCGGAACGCTTTGTTTTCCCAATTTTTCCAACATACGTTCCAAAAAATGCCTTCGTGCCGGCCATCATTCTTTCGGCACCATGTTCTTTGCAATAGAACAGCCTTTGGTATTACTCTCCAGACCGGAAGTGTTAATAGATTACGAGTCATAGCTCAAAGTAAGAGAAATGTTACTATTTAAAGTACCTATTAATTTAAGGTTTTCGTTCATTTCATTATAATCTTCCAAACTTCAGACTGCAAAGTACTTCTAGAAATTGTAATTTAAGGTTTACATGTACTTATCATCTTCGTGCTGTAGATTTTAAGCATACATGAATGATATTTTTTTCACGGCCACGTAGCACCCTAAACAGTTAAACTTCTAAACCTTCTCTCAGTTTTGCCCGTGCATAAGAAATGTTGTTAGATTGCCCTAGATTCTATTATTTCCGTTTAAATTAGCATTCACCATCCATGTGCACTGACTCTTGTATGTACCTCAAGTTTTTTTCCAACATCTGAAACATCTCCAAAATATTGGATTGTAGAACTCCGAGGTGGTAATCGTAATTAAATTTATGTTGACTAGTGAAATTATAACGATATCATCTAAATACAATTTGTGATAATAAGTTCAGTGTCAAAAAATGTATTGAGGATTGAACATGTGCATCTATTTTATGAAAAAAGTGTGCCCTAGTTTAAATTTTTAAGTTGGGCAATTAAGATAGCTATTA